CTGGCCAGAAGGACCAGATAGGAGACCCCTCAAAGGCTGGTGTTTTGGTTAAAAAAAAAAAAAAAATCATTTGTCTTGAGATCGAAGTGTAAGGACTCAGAAATTGAATTTAAGGTGATGTACTGAACATCTGGTGCCAGAGGGTTACACACTCCATTAGGATTTTGAACTGAATAAAGTTATGTTCGTGTAGAGAAGGTATGTTTTTAGACCTCTGTGATCCTCAGGAGCAGGAAACAGGGACAGTACACACAAAAAACAAGGCTTTTATCATGAGAATAATTCTCACTCAAGTGGAAAGATGTTTTGAACAAGCAGTGTCTGATCATGATAGTAGTGAATTTAACACCAGAAACCAGACCAGGATTTCCATCTACCCTGATGAAACTGAAGTAGATCAAATGGACATGCTTTCTTGGAAATAATGGCTAGAGCTCTTTCTCAAGGAAAAAAAAATGGAGGTTTCTGCACAGATACACCTGTAAGTTTAAAAAATTCTTCCTAGAGTTATCAAACCAGAGATGGGTTTATTTGAAGATAGAGTCTGAAGAAAGTGTTAGAAATTAATTATAATTATCTCATGGACGTTCCTCCAACTCACAAATGTACTTCTTTAGCAGCTGTGAAAAATTGCAAAAAAATATGGTCAGGATTTGATGATGCTACACATAAAACTTTTAAATGATCTTTAACCGACTGAGCCACCCAGATTTTTTCTGTCTTGTAAACATTCTTCAGTTTTATGTAGGGTTTAGTTTCTTTTCAGAATAACACTATTTTAATTTTATCTGCCAATTTATACTAAAGTGGTAGTGTTTAATATTTATATTTTTATGAATTTATATTTTTTGTGTCCTAATATTTCTAAATTTTTGTATTTGAAATATTTGATTTCAATAATTTATCTTTTGTGAATTTTTACTTTAAAACGAAGTATTGGAATTAATACACGGTAAACACCTTGATTTTGCTCCAGTGTTGTCACTTTTTAGAGGATGTCTAGATAGCATTTCATTTGAGACCTGCAGGGTGAAGGGACTTAAATAAAATAGAGCTGTGGGAAGAATGTTGTAGGTAATCTTCTAGGTAAGAAAGGGCATTTTGAAGTTTGAGCAACTGAGAAAAATTCGGTATAGCAGGTTTGGAAGGATGATGGAGCAATCTGACTTGGAACTGGAGTGACAGGCTCTCGACAGGCTGAGAGGGCCTTTGGGAAGGCATGGAAAGTATTCAAGGACCCTTGGGAAACCAGAGCATTTAAAACTTAATAGTGATGATCAGGTCTGCATCTTAGAAGGGTCATCTGGCTACCGTGTGAGTGATTTGGGTAAAAGCAAACCAGTTAGAAGACCTACAAACATCCAGATAGAGGATGATGAGGGTAAGTCAGTGGCAGTGGGATGGGAAAGAAAGTAGGTAGATTTGAGAGCTAGGTAGAAGTTGGAATTCCCAGGGTCTGGCATGGGCAGCTAGGTGCATGTGGTAGTGGTTGCTGAAATTGGGACTGCAGAGGAGCTGTGCACGTTTCTGAGGATGGTAATGAGTTCATGTGTACAGATGCTCATGGACAGAGTTCCACTGGGAGGATGTGAAGATACGGGGCGGGGGGAGGGGGGTATGAGACGTCTGTAGGGGCATCTAGACTTTTTTGAGGTGACAGTAGAAGTTCGTTCTGAGCGTGGGTGGAATTTTCACGATAGGAAGGGAAGGGCAGCAGAGTAAGAACAGCCAGAGTGGCAAAAGGACAGTGTACAGAAGGGTGGTATCTCAGAAGCCAGGAGGTAAACGTGTTTCTAGAGAAAATGATCATCCGTGCCAGATGTTAGGGGGAATTGGGGAACAATAAGGACCAAAAGTATCAATTTGTTTTCACTTGAAAGCTGTCATTGGTGGCTGTGCAGTGAGAGTTGGATTGTAGTAATTCTAAGGTGAGGAACTAGGCAGCCCTTTCAGGAAGTTGCCACTGGAAGCCAAGACAGAGGAGAGAACCCGAAGGGTGATAAGGAATTGAGGACAAGTTTTATATTTAAAGATGGAGACATGAGCCTGATTCAGTGATGATGGGAATGAGCAAGTAGAGAGATGTTGAAGTTGAAGAGGGGGATCAAGGCATCGGGAGTCCCAGGGAAGGCGCAGTGGAGTGGAGGCCAGAATTGAGGGGGAGATTGGGTTTGGGCTTGTAAGGAAAAGGAAGCAAAAGTCTGGATCCAGGTCAGTTTGTGTGTATGATGGTGGAAAATGAGGACGCTTGCTTCTGATGTGGCTTCTTTATTTTCCTTGTGGTGTAGACAGTGTTGTCATTCGCTGAGACTGAGGAGAGGGGAGGTGGGGGAGGTGGAAGGAGAACAGAGGACCTTTGCAGTATCTGCTCCGGGGAAAGGGGGCGAGAGCTGCCCGGGGACAGCTTGAGGGCGGCTGAGGTTACTGGCCGTGAATTGGTAGCAGCCCCGAACGTCTCCAGCAGCAGAGAATGGCCATCTCACCTGCCCTTCCTGGTGTGGGGTGTGTTGGAGGACTTTCTAGAGAGTTGGAGTCAATGTGGTCCACAAAGTGCAAAGAACAGCGTGTGACACATGAGGCTCCCACTCCTCCCCGCCACGCGCACTGTATGGTTCCGCGCTGCCGTGGTCAGACACTCTCCGAAGTTACGCAATTGCGCCTTCACCAAATGGCCCCAGACCTCTGTCTTGTTTTTCTTTAAGTTCTCGTCTGCTTTTTCGTACGGTTTCTGTCTCCTGCCTTTGTTTTATTCCTAGTCGTCCGTTCTGCTTTCACATCACTGTCTGCACGTGAGTCTGTGTCAGCCCCACGCTCCGGACGTGGTCAGCATCTGCGATGATCACATCTCTGAGATAAAGCCGAGAGCCTGAAGACCAGACAGCCAAGCTTATTTTAAACTAATATGCAAAGTAGTAGTAAACAGCCTCAGTGTGTGAGGATTCTCACGTGCTGTGCTTGGAGAGTGTACCTGAGTGTTTGTACATGAACTTTGTGATGCCTCTTGGGTTGCTTCTCGGGTGTCCGTCCGGGAGACGTTCATTGCCTGTGGTCCCGTTGCGTTTTATTTGAATTTCCATGGATTGTGATAATGTTCTTGGAGAGCCCTCACGCTGTCATTATATAATCACTCTTTAGTATTTGCAAATGCGTGAGTAGACATCTTTATTATTTATTTATTTATTTATTTCTTCTTATTCTCATGGATTTTCAAATGCTTTTATGTTTTGTATGGGAACGACCTGTATTTTCAAATGTATGCATTTTGTATGAGGATAACTTACCATATCATGACTCCACCATCCACCATGTCACATGTAGGTGAGCTAGGACAATGTAAAGTATTGTGGAGGTTTGAAAAATAAGTTAGCTACTTTAGCTTTTCATATATTTTTGTGTTTTATGGATGCCTCATCTGTGAACATCTCTTGTGTGTATCAGCAGTTTTAATTTTTTAAAGAAGTATATACTTAGTATATAGTGAATATCATTTTTAAAATTTTTTTTCTGTAAATTAATTTAATTTTGATCCTGACTTCCCATCTGGTCAAGAGGAAGGTATTCAACACCAGTCATTTGGAGACTTTCCCCCAACCCCCAGGTTGTGCTAAGGTTTGGGGTCTTGCACAGTGCCAGCACGTTGAGGAAAGAGCCCTGAATCGTCAGTAATCTGGCCACACTGCTTACCTAGGAGAGACCTCTTATCTCAGCCCAAACATGCCCTTCGGGTTCCTGCCTCTAGTGCTTATTGCCTGGGAACCATTGGTGAGGCCCAGAGTCCCGGGCCTTACTCAGCTTCTGTCTTCTAAGGGCTCTTAGAAGCTCTTTTCTCCGTAGACCCTACTCTTGCTGGGAGAGAGTGTGGCTGAGTGACTCACAGACCTTTTTCCTCTCTCCAGTTCTGGGAAATCTTTTTTCTTTCTTTCCTTTCTTTCTTTCCTTTCTCTTTTCTTTCTTTTTCTTTCTTTCTTCCTTTCCTTTCCTTTCCTTTCCTTTCCTTTCTCTTTCCTTTCTCTTTCCTTTCTCTTTCCTTCCCTTCTCTTCTCTTTCCTTTCCTTCTCTTTCCTTTCCTTCTCTTTCCTTTCCTTCTCTTTCCTTTTCTTCTCTTTCCTTCTCTTTCCTTTTCCTCTTTCCTTCTCTTTCCTTTTCCTCTTTCCTTCTCTTTCCTTCTCTTTCTCTTTCTCTTTCCTTCTCCTTCTCTTTCTCTTTCCTTCTTCTCTTTCTCTTTCCTTCTCTTTCTCTTTCTCTTTCTCTTTCCTTCTCCTTCTCTTTCTCTTTCTCTTTCCTTCTCCTTCTCTTTCTCTCTCTCTCTCTCTCTCTCTCTCTTTCTCTCTCTTTCTCTTTCTCTCTCTTTCTCTCTCTCTTCTTTCTTTCTTTCTTTCTTTCTTTCTTTCTTTCTTTCTTCAGAGCACAAGTTGGGGGCAGGGGAGAGGGAGAAGTGGACTCCCTGCTGAGCAGGGAGACTGGGGATACAGGACTTCATTGAACCCAGGACCCAGAGATCATGACCTGGTACTTAACTGACTGAACCACCCAGGTGTCGCCTGGGAAGTTTTTTTTAATCTGGGGGAAAGCCCTCAATCCTCAAACTCTATTCTCAACAGGTATAGGGTTGTTTTCTGTTTTTTTGTTTTGTAACAAAAGCTAAGAATCATTGGCACAAACCTTCCCTTAGGCAAGGAAGCCCACACATTTAAATAGTAGAATAAAGGGACAGAACACAAATCTCTTTTAAAAAAAAAAATTAGTAAAGTAGTAAGTTGCAGAGTAGTTAAAAAAAAAATAAAAAAGACACGCAACAGACCACCTCTGTTCAGTGTTACTTCCTTGGAGACCAAAGTTGTGTAGCTAAGTCTCTGTTTTATAACTCATTGAGGAATATTTGCTAAATGTGTTTACATTTTATTGACAGAACTTCTGAGTGATCTAAATATCAACAGAATATAACATTTTTAAAGTGTGTAAATGTTCTAATTTTGCTTTGTCTTTTTTTTTTACCTAAGAACACTGGAACTATTTTGGGGCTGATGAGAATCTTGGTCCTGTGGCTGTGAGCATTCGAAGGGAAAAACCAGAAGAAACGAAGGAAAATGGATCTCCATACAACTACCGAATAATTTTTAGAACCAGTGAGGTAAGTTGCAAACCAGAAAGATTGAGGCTCAGTTGGAGTGAGGAGTCGTAGTAGCAAAACAATTCAGTGTAATAGCACATAGCTACAAATGTCTTAGCATAAACAAAGACCCCTTTCATTGGTTCTGGTGGTGATGGGGGTGGACATCATGGTGAGATTTGGATCCTTCCTTTCCATCGACCCCTGGGTAGATGCAATAAATGAATGGGAGTTTTGATTTGGAGAAGGATGCATGACTTATGTGTGGCTCTAGGAAACTGGGTCCTCAGGATTCCAAAGTGGATATTGTATCTACTGCTCCGGCGGCTGGGAGCACTGAGCCAGCGGACTTACAGAAGAGAGAGGGTCACCCAAGAGTTAACTCGCTGTTCCAAACTGTTGCGTAGGACAGTTCTTGACCCAAGAAGTGGGAAAGAGAATTTTCTCCACTTGGCTTTCCCCTGGGCCTGCTCCCCCTGTTGTCAGGGGACCCAGAGTGACCCGGTGAACTCGAGGCTACATCACTGTGCGTGAGGCCGGCTCTCAGAGCTCTTTAGGACTCGAAGCACATGTAATATTTGAGTTTTTATTTTAAAATGAAATTCAGGTCAGAAAAGAAAAGGAAAAATAAAACAGCCAACAAAGCAGTTTTTGTTGTTGGTGGTGGTGGTATAAACTCATGAACAAGTTTGGGACAATGAGGTTTCTCCTTTGTTTTCTTTCTAAACGTGTACAGTTGTGCCAGTTACGAATTTATTATTGCCTCTCTGCGCCAAATTCACTTTAGGGTTGTTGTTGTGCATTAATGCTTAATACCCCCCTGAGGTATCTAGAAAATAATGGTCTTGAAACCAGTTTAAACAGGACATGTACTTCATTTCCGTCCTTGGATACAAGGCAGGTTTCAGGGGTTGGCTTCACTTTGTAATTGTTTCTCAGCTTGAACTCCAGGGAAATTAAAAAATAGGATTTTTAAAGGCATGACTTCAGTATCTAATGGGTTGTATGTAGTGGCCAGAGAGAATTGAAGAGCTCACATGCTCTACTGTACTTTCTGTCCACACCAGAGCTAATCATTAAGCAGGGTAAATGCTTCTGTTAAACATAAAAAGCACAGAGAACACAGTTTTTGAAGTTGGATGCAGGTGGCTGCCCCTTTCTGGCTTTCTGGATTTCTGTCAGCCTGTTACTTCTGGGGTTTTGTCCTCCTGTTGTCACCTGTTCCCCCTCACCCCACCCCTCCAGGGCCACTCCAATTCCTACCATCATTCATGCCAGAGGTCAGAGTTTTCTAAGTGATGGAATTCTTCCCCCACTCCTGTCACTGTGATTGGCTTTTGGAATATAGGTGAGGTTCAGTAGGGTGGAGTCCAGAGCCCATGACCAAGAAAGAATCCTTGAGACGTCTTTGGTGCAAAATGGTGGTTTATTAAAGCAGGACCCGTGGGCAGAAAGAGCTGCTGCACCGGGGTGATAAGGGGTGGCTGATTATATACTGTTGGGTTGGGGGAGGTAAGGAAAAAGGGAGGTTTCAAGAGAACTTTCTTACGCTAAGGAGGACCCAAGAGATACCAGAGGCCTTGCCCTTGTCAAGTTAAGGTTGTTTTTCCCCTCTAGCAAGGCATTAACATTAAGATAGTTGGGAGATTCTTGGAAGAATGTCACACTTGTCCCACCCAGGAGTGGGGGGAGGTTGCAGGCTGTCAGCTTGTGCTTTGTGTTCAGCCAGCCTTCTGCTCCCTCATCAACTGGTTTACATACCCTCCAGCTTGCTTTTTGGCTCTTCCCTGTCTGGTCCCAGCCTCTTTTCTGTCTCTAGCGTTAACTGCTGTCCTGAGTGACCGTGATCCCTCCGCCATGGCTGGTGGCTCTGCCTTTTCCACCTCTGTCCTTTCATCCCTTGCTACCTGGGCCCAGTGTTCAACCTGCACCCCCCTCCCCCAACACTTCTCTGGTCTGACCGTTGGGTCCGTTTCCTGCCAGCCCATCTGATGGTCCCTTGGGTCCATTGCTTTAGCCTTTGACGAGAACATCCAAGTCAAATGTTGTTCATGGTTCAAGACACCGCCGTCATCACTAACGTTTATGTTCAAATTAATGTTTAACTGACAACTCTGTTACTGAAGTTGTTTAGGCCGGAAACTTAAAGTCACTCTGGGCTCCTCTCTCCTCCTAGCCTCCTAAACCCCAGTCTGGTCTGTCAGCAAAACTCGCTGACTCTGTCTTCAAAATATGCCCAGAATTCAACCCCTTCCTTCATCCCACCACCTCAGCCTAGGCCAGGCCACCATCATCTTTCTCTGAGAACCCTTCTTCCAGCTCTGCCCTTAAGCCCTGCAGGGATCCTTTAGAAATGTAATCCAGATCTGTCATTGCTCAGTGCAAAATCCTTTAATGGTTACCCATCTCCTGGGTAAAAATCTGTCAGTGTCCTTGCTAATTTAGGAGACCATCCACTCTGGCTTCCTTCCCCTGAGGGGCCACCTGGACGACTGCTCTGCCTCAGGGCTCGGCTACTCCCTATTCCTCTGTCCTGCCATATTCTTCCCCTGGCATCCTCCTGGCTGGAGCGCTCTCATTTCCTCCTGACCTTTATGCATAAATCATAGGGGCCTTCCTTGGCCACGGATCTAAAATTTCTATTCCCACACATCGCATTTCATGTCTATTGCTAGGCTTTATTTTTTTCTTGAACACTTAATACTGCCTCACATGCTGTACTTTTTATTTTGTTTTCTGTCTGCCCCACTAGAATTTAAGCCCCGTGAGGGTAGGGACTGTTGTCTGAGTGGTTCGTGACTATACGTCTAATGCCTAGAATCGTAGGTCGTGCTCTCCCTCTCCTCTGTAATGTGTATGTAATGAAGTGTCTGTCCCTAGCTTTCGTGTAACTTTCTCCTTCCCAATCAAAGTCACCCTTAAATGTGGTTTTAACTGTAGTATCTTAATGAGGCTTTTCACAAAAATTAACTAACAAAAGTCCTTCGAGAGAAACATCTCTGGATGTCCATCCCTGTCCGAAAGGCACTTCATTTTCATTTCAGTAGGAATCATCAGTGCACAACATAAACAGAAAAACATAAACATGTATGTAAGCCTGACAGTTTATGAACAAAACCTTACAGCATGTGAGTGTTTTCAAGCAAAGGTGCACAGGGACTTAAAAGGATTCTCGTCTTGTTTCTGGAAATCATTAACAAAAATATCAGCAATGCTAGTGATCCAGAGAGAAAAAGGAGTCCTTCTTTTTTTCCTGCGCTTTGGCTTCCTTGAGGTGAGCTGCTGTCTTTCTGTGGTACAGGTTTAGCACTCCTGGTCTTGGATTCTCGACGGAAGGGACTTCCAGCCTCTGTAGCTTCCTGTCTTCAGGCTCAGGTGATCTCAGGGAAGGCGGAGCACAGTAATGTGCTTGTCCAGCAGTTTCCCATGATTTAAAAACACGAAAGAAAGGCCCAGAAACCATTTCGGTCAAATTAGGTATTAAATCATAGGAAAGATGATGTTTTTTACACAAGTGTTACTTGAAAACAAATTATTTATAAATGAAAGATATTAATTAAATGAATAGTACCTTGTTCTTGTATTGAGAGCAAGACGCTGGTAAATTTTGCTTTTCCTACCCTCCTCTCTCTTCCGCATCAGTTGGCAAACGTTAGAGATTTGACTTCCCTGGTGATTGTTCCTTTGGTTTCCATTTCCCTGCTAACCGTTTATCATGTCCCCTTTGCCTGATTTCCGAGATTCTTACAGCTTCCTTCCAGCTGTATTGTCTGCCTGTGGCTTCTTCCTCCTGCCGTTCATCTTAGATACACATCTTCTTCCCCGTTCAAACAAGGTCTGAGGCTGCCTGTTGGAGCCTGACGGGGTGCACACCCCTCAGGTACGCACTCCTGCTGTGTGCCCCCCCAGCTCTCCCCCCCCCCCCCCCCCCGGGCCCCCCCCCCCCCCGCCGGGTCCCCCCCCCCCCCACCTGCCGGCTCCCCTAGCCGCCCTCCCGCGCTCTCCTCAGATCCCACTCCGCCATAGCGGTGGCTCTTGCCGCCCCACGTCCGGTTCTTCCTTATCTCCGTACCTGGTACCTTCGCTCTCTGACGTGCTCTTTTACAAATCCCCCCCACCCCGACTTCATGGCCCCTTTTTAGTGCCACGCCTTCCATGAGGGCCTTTTCTTAGGCACTGAGCCACAACGCCCCAGCTTCTGCTCTCGGACCCTCTTAGGACCCGAACTTGTTCCACTCTTAGCAAATACAGCCTCCCGGATTGCGGCTGTGGTTCTTCCCCGTCGCGGGCCTGCACAGCGCCCCTGGCCCTCAGCACGCACGCCTTCCTCTGTCCGCGCTCGCCACACCTGCTGCAGTTCGGTGCGTCCCGACCTGCCGGTTTGGTGGGAAGGTGTTTGGTGATGGGGTTTTTTCTTAGGTCATCGTACCATGTTTACATTATATTAACAGCTTTGCCGCATGACACGTTTTAGGAATTAAGACTGCTCTAGGCTTCATATTTTCTCCAACAAATCATTACATAGAAAAATTTTTTTGGTTGTGTTTATATTTCATACTAATGGAAAGTGTTTTAAGAAGGGGAAATCCAAAGTGATTTCCAGTGCTGTTGACTCTGCTACTGTACTAAGTACAGTCATGGTCTTATTGTCATTGCATTAGGGGATATAAGTAGTTTATGCTTGTCAGCAGTATGTTATGAATTTAAAACTTTATCCTTCCCCTTATCTTTGTAACAAAATAATGTAATAAAATTTTGTAATAAAATAATGTAATGTAAAATAATGTGTAATAAAATAATGTAAAATAAAAAGTATAACGTCTAAATCCTTCAGATATTTCTCTGGGATATCTCCTTCTTGATTTGGTTAGTGGCATTTTACAGCCATATAGACCCTGATCTTATTGAGCTCTTTAAGGAAATGGCCTTACTTGATTTTTAAGTCGGTGTCCCTGGACGGCTTGATGATGAGTTCCTTTGGACTTGCCTGGGTCTTGGAAGCATCGGCCTCTTTTCATTAGGGAGTTCTTCTGTCACTCCCTTCATTCTTTCTCCCTCACCCGCTTCCCCTTCAGAAGTCGTTCCCAGCTCCTCAGCAGCACCTTAACCTAGGCCGTCAGTGCATTCGATGTATTTACACCTCTCCCACACCCAGAGAGCCCTCAGCCGAGCACATGTCTGTCTTTCAGCTCATGACACTGAGAGGCTCAGTCCTGGAGGATGCCATTCCCTCAACGGCAAAGCACTCGACAGCCAGAGGACTGCCCCTGAAGGAAGTGCTGGAGCACGTGATTCCTGAGCTCAATGTCCAGTGCCTGAGGTTGGCCTTCAACACTCCCAAGGTCACAGAGCAGCTCATGAAACTGGATGAACAAGGGGTGAGTTTGGCTTCTGTTGGAAGACATTCTTGCTGCTCAGATTAACTGCTAGGTTTCCAGAATACAGACCTTGATACTTCTTTTTGGACAGGGCGAACTGATACCATTTATCTCAGTGTGGTCTTTTTGCAGTTACTCATTTTCTTCTTAACTCTCTGAACGTTTCTCATCTGATGAAATTTTCTACGTCTGAATTGGTAGATATGGTTCTTAAACTGTGTTCAGCTCTTTCAGTATGAAATCTTCCATAAATGCAGTGAATTTTTCAGATACTCTAGGAATAAGTAGTAGCAATAAGAGGCTCTGTTTTAAGTGCCTTAGGTATGTTACCCCTTTTACTCTCCCAACCCTATGAGAATGGCACCATTATTATCTCCATTTTAGAGGTGAGGACCCTGAGGCACAAGGAGATTGAGTAGTAAGCCCAAGTTCACACAGTTAATAAGTTTGAAGCCTCTGCTGTTAGCCACTATACCACGCTGTTCTTAGACGCTTCAGTTTTGAAAAGTCTATTTATACCACCAAGATGTATTCTAGCCAAGATTTCTAAATACAGAATTTTAAAAATTTGTGTCCTAATTAGTCACAAAAGGAAAATTCTCAAGATTTTCTCACTTCCATACTTCCTGTACCTTAATGTGTGGCCCTTTGGTCAAGAGGCAGATGGTTGATAGGATAATCCATACAGAAACAGCATAAGGGTAGAGGATGAAAAGTTATACTCTGGAAAATCCACTAAACGGGGATATGCCCACATTCTGCTTCGAATAGTTTGAGCATCTGGGCTAGTTGTGTTAGATGCTGTATTTATATACTCTGACTCTCTCTTTGAACATCTTTGAACATTTCAGCCATATTACATCCTGGCAGTATGACTAATAATAGCTTTACTATTGCATTAAAAAAAATTCCTCCAAACATAAAATTGTTCCACTTACTGAATGCCATTTTATGAACAAATTTCGATGGCATCTCCTTAATTAACCAAAAATTCAGACATTATTAAAATGAATAGGAGTTTTTAAAAAATCCATTTTAAGGTATGTTCTTTTCATTCAGCTAGTAGGGATATATTAGGAACCAATGGCTGGACACAACTCTATTCATTGCTCTCTCTGTCCATTCATTTTACTTGTCAGAGAGCCCAGCTGATGTCTGTTCTGTACATAGATTTCAAGGAGGCTCTGCTTGTCCGTGTTTATAACATGCAAATTGGGCACACTTGGAATGCTTCAGAAGACTGCTGATGCTTAACTCTTTGGGGGCTGTTTTCCAGTAAATGTTCTGAACATTCAGTGTAACAGAGAAGGAATAGAAAAATGAGGATTAGGTTCAGCTTTATGGATTCAGTCTTTTCACTTACTGTGCTTTTCAAGGAGAATTATATTTAGACACTGATAATGTAATCACAAATTGAACATTCTAAATCCTACATTGGAACAGGTTTTTTTATAGAAGGGAGTTATTTTTTGCCATTTTCCCCTTTGTTGTACCCATATTCGCTAAAAACTGGGTGCCCTAATTAAAGACATCTTGTGTGGTCTCTGGCCCATTTTATGCCCTCTCTTAGTGATGAACACTTTCTGGTCCCATCAACGTAGAAAAGATAAGAACACTATATAGTGAGTTTAACTTAAAGCTAAATTTATTTAATTCACAGAACTGCCCATTCTAAAATTATGGGCTTCTTCTTCTTAGGGGGTATTAAAATATCCTTTCCTTCATAAATTTTGCTGATAATATGTGTTATTTTCTTTAATGCCTTTCCTCTGAGAAATTAAAATTTGGCAACCTAGGGTAGTCTCCCCGGTTTTATTTTGGAAATTTTATTAGGTAGTAGAACCTAAAAGTTTAAAGCCTGCTATTCTATATATGCAGCTCTAAATCTGGACTAAGAGGCACCCCCCCCCCCCCCCCCCCCCCCCCCCCCCCCCCGCTCCCTTGGCCTCTGTCTTTTCATTTATATCTCCATAGCATTCAAAGCCAGGATTGTGCTGATAAAAAGCAGATGACACGCATACTTGAGTGTTTAGTCTGGGGAGTCACTTTTTTGGTAGGAAATCTCATTAATGCCTTGGAATCATTTTGAGAAAATGATTATTTTCATGCCTTTCATACAGATTTTTAAAAAGAAATGCATATAAGTGCAGTAGATTACGCATTTGAATCATTGCAAAGCATTTTCTGTTTCCATCCATGTCTTCATTTTTAAAAATTTCATGCTTTGTACATTCTTATATTTAAAAAAAATTCAGAGTGGTATCAGGAAACTAGACTCACTGAAAAGGACTTCTAGATCTCCCCTTAAGTTTTATTTAAACAATTCCTTTATCTTTTTTCCTTTAAACAGCTTATATGATTATGCTTGGAAAAAGAAAACACTATTTGCTTGCCTCATTGTGACATTTTGCCTTTCAGATCTCTGGTGCTTTATTTTTTCATTTTACCGCTTTTAAAAAGCTGAAATGAATAGGACAAATTAAAATTATATCTAATACATATAAGAAAGCATTTCACAAAAATATGAGAATGTGTTTTTCATCTGATTAGACTGATATGTTTGCAGGAACTGAAGGTAGGCATTTTAATTCCTGAAGTTTTAGAAAATGAATATATGCTGGGCGCCTGGGTGGCTCAGTTGGTTAAGCGACTGCCTTCAGCTCAGGTCATGATCCTGGAGTCCCGGGATCGAGTCCCGCATCGGGCTCCCTGCTCAGCAGGGAGTCTGCTTCTCCCTCTGACCCTCTTCCTTCTCGTGCTTTCTATCTCTCATTCTCTCTCTCAAATAAATAAATAAAATCTTAAAAAAAAAAAAAGAAAATGAATATATGCTAATCCACGTTGTATATGTGGCTTATCCAATCTTTCACATTTTCCTTCCTGATGCCTTTCTGGGCCTCTCACTATTTATTGATGTCCATTTCCATCTTCCTATATAGGGCAGTACCCTACCAGTGATTTCACACTGTCAAGAATTTAGAACAGACTGTGATTCAGAAACTTGGGATCAACTCTGGATTTAGTTTATCCATCTTGGTCCTAGATTTTCACTTATTCAATAATTGAGAGCATCATTTATGATAAAAACAAATTAGATCAGCATGCATGTTTACTTACTGCACGGCTGTAAGCACTTTACCACATGTCCTCATTTACTCCTTCGAGTGCCCTGCACAGGGCTTCTAACCATTGGCCCATTTTACAGTTGAGAAGATTGAGACTTCCGGAAGTTCTCGGTGCTGTTCCCCTTACTGGTCCTGAACACCGGGTACACACATTTGCAGAATACTGCCCTTTGTTTTTACAGTTTGCAAGTTTTTATGCTTCTGCATGTCTTGAGTTATTTAGATACGCAAAACTATGCTGTGAAGTATCAGGAATTTCATGATCTATTCAACCCAACTTTTTAATAATACGGCTAATAGTTACTTTTAAATTTGCCATGTCAAAGCCATTTTCTTCATCAGTCATTTAAAAAACACCTTTATCTCATCTACTCTGTGCAAGGGGAATGAAAAGCCACCATGCCGGGCACATGGTGCGTACCGAAGAACTATTAGCTGTGGTTGGTAACAATATAATAATAGCTTGTTAGAAGCCCGCTGCGTGCACTATCTCATTTAACCTTTGTGAGCCTCCCGTGAGAGAGCTGCTGGTACGGGCTGTGTAATATGTGATGTTCCCGGTCATAAGTAAGCACAACTGTTTCAAATCTAGTAAGTGCTTATTGAGAACCACTCTTGGTGGATTGTTAAATACTCTGGAGAATAAATAGGCTAGTAAGACACAGTCCTTACCCATGAAGGAGACAAGGTCATAAATTACTATAATGAAAGTCAGGTTTAATATAATGAACATAATGAGAGAATTGCAAACAAAGAGCAGTGGAGGTGCAGGCCAACAGGGCCAAGTCATGATTGGTTAGGCCCATTCCCAAGATGGGCCATGGAAGGGAGGAGGATTTCCTCAGGCCCGAGACCCAGCAGGGTGGTGGTCGAGACTCAGAACAGGAAGAACCAAGCAGAGAGGGATGAAAGCAGAGTGTGGTTATGGCAGCGGGCAGTCTAGCTGCACAGGCGTGTGAGACACATGTAAGAGAGTAACAAACATAGGTATTTTTTTATTGAGCAGTGACTAAGCCAGGCACCCTGTGAAGCAATTTACATGCATTATTTTAATTAGTCCTCAGAATCCTTTGATACCGGTGCTATCACTGAGGCACAAAGAAGCTGAAAGACCCCACCATTCACAATTAGGGTCTGGTGGAGGCGGGCCTTGAATCCAAGCATTCAGATTCCAGAGCCTGCACTCTTATGCAATGCACTGAACACCCCATCCTCCTCTCCCTCCCACGAGTGGGAGAAGAAACTGTGGAAAGACAGCTCCAAGCATTACTGCTGCTGGCTTTGGTGCCCAGTATTAAGTAGAACATATTAAAGTACAATTTCCAGTTTGCAGTCGAAAAAATTGGTAGTCCTGTTTTCATAGGAAATGTCAAGTTTCATGTACACGGTAGTGGTTTTACTTAAATGAGTATCTCCACTGTTTTTCTAGATAATTATTAAAAATGCAAAGAAATGAAAATATTTATTGGGCTTTCTATTCCTTAAAAACTTAACCCTTCAAGTTACTGAAGTTAAAGGGGAAAACGATCATATCTAATTAGGTCTGCAATATTTATTTCAAGAAGCAATGTTATTTGATAATGAATAGCACTGGTTCTTTGATTAAGGATGTGGATGAAATTCTCTGCTGACTTAGCCTGTGCATTGCCATGTTGCATTATTTTACTGAGGATAAATGAGTTTGACCAGCCACTTTCTTCTTTGATTCAGGCAGCTAGATTTAAAGAATGAACCATAAGGAAAACATTTTTCCCAAAACCCATTTTATACGAATGAAGCTTTGGCAGAACAATTACCATTCCTGAAATTTTATTCTTCTTTTAGATTATGATAACAGCTAATGCCCAATTAAAGTTCAGATGACCACCCACATTG